AAAAAAAAAAATACATCAAAGCTGGAAGCAAGCTATTAAAGGAAAGAAAGCTCGTGGAGACAATCTAAATGAGAAGTTTCTAAACTTGCCATTTTAGAACTGGATCCTTTTTTTCTTTTTTCAAAAATAGGTTTTAATGTAAATACACGCCCAGAACAATGCCTGGCACATAGTAAGTGCTCGAAATATCTAAGTGGAATGAGTGACTGTTACAGGCTGTGTATGTTATTTTAAGGTGGAGCCAGACTGGCGAGAGGGGTGGGGTCTTGAACCGCCTCCCTCCCCGCCCGCTCCCAGAGGCACCTTGGTGGTGTGCTGGCCCAGAGGTGCTCTGCAGGCTGGAGGCAGGGTTGGACCTGCATCCCTGACCTCAGCATCTCCCGTGAAGCCCCCGTGATGTCTCCTCCGTCCCCTGCCCCGCACTGACCTGTGATGGTGAGGATGCACAGGAAGATGGCCACCAGCGCCTGGATGCTGACGCCCACCTGGGCGGCCGTCTCCTCACAGAAGGTGAACTCGCCTCGCTCGTTACACTTGCACACGGCAATGGCCAGCGTGTTGGTGCTTGTGAGGCTTGGCCTCCCATTGTCTGAGATGACCACGGGCAGGAGGTGGACCTTGGCACGCTCTCGATCGAATTGCCCATACTTGACTGTGATGTTGGCCGTGTTATCTGGAAATACCAAAGCCGCAGAATCAGGCTTTGCCCAGAGTGCACACTCCCCTTGGCCCCAGAGATGGAGGAAGCCCTCCAAGTAGCCCTCCCTGACCGCACCAGGGCTGCTTCTCTGCCTTGTGCATCTCTGCCTCTCCTTTCAGCCCTTTGGGTGCAGGCCTGCTCCTCCCAGAAGTGTATTTGGGGCAGCACTTTGACCCAGCCTCTACCAATGCCTTGGCCAGAAGGCAAAATCCTTGCTTTCTGTTTACAAGTGCAATTGAGAACCTAACCCCTCCCTCTTCCCTAACCCCACTCCAACAACAAAGGGTTTTCTCTTTCAGCGCAATAATTAATGTATTGTTTCAAGCTTTGACAAACAATCAGGAAAAAAAAACATATATGTATTTTTGAGACAGAGTCTCCCTATATTGCCCTTGGTAAAGTGCCGTGCACAGCTCACAGCAACCTCCAACTCTTGAGCTTAAGTGATTCTCTTGCCTCAGCCTCCCAAGTAGCTGGGACTACAGACGCCCACCACAATGCCTGGCTATTTTGTTGTTGTTGTAGTTACCATTGTTGTTTGGCAGGCCCAGGCTGGGTTCAAACCTGCCAGCCCTGGTGTATGTGGCCGGTGCCCTAAACATGATATACGGGTGCTCAGCCAGAAAAAATAAAATTTTAAGAAGTCTTTTAGCATTAGGCTAACTTCTAAAGCTATTTCTGCTATTCCTGAAAATCCATTGTTACTAAGGAGGTTTACAACAGTAAGAGCAGGGATTTCCTGCTTGGGGGTGATGGGGTCCATGTGCTTGGGAGACCAGTGGCAAAGCTAAGGATGCCCTCTTTTAGATTCCAAGTATTCGGAATTATAGTATTAAGTCTATTATAATTGAAAATAAATGGCTTGGCGCCTGTGGCTCAAGTGGCTAAGGCGCCAGCCACATACACCTAAGGTGGCAGGTTCGAATCCCCAGCCCGGCCCGCCAAACAACAATGATGGCTGCAACCAAAAAATGGCCAGGTGTTGTGGCGAGCACCTGTAGTCCCAGCTACTTGGGAGGCTGAGGCAGGAGACTCGCTTGAGCCCAGGAGTTGGAGGTTGCTGTGAGCTGTGATGCCATGGCACTCTGCCCGGGGGGGGGGGATAGCTTGAGGCTCCGTCTCAAAAAAAAAAAACAAAAAAAAAAAAAGAAAGAAAATAAATGACATGCTGTTGACACTTTATGGGAAAAATGACAGAATTTCACAGGCAGGACATTCATGACATAGGGGAGTCTGAGACCAACAGGCCTGCCTCCTGCTAGCGTTGGGGGGTCTCTGGGCTGGCACAGAACCCTTCCACCCCATTGCATACCCCCACTCTGAGGTGGGACTAAGGTGGGCAATGAGCATGGGGGGGGACATAATTATATTTTTACCAAATTATTTGCTCCCAAAGATAGCTGGATGTTGAATAGTTTGTCATTAACTTGTCAACACACCAGGGCCACCTCCTCATCCCACAGAGGCTCCAGGAAGTCAGGTCTGTGGCTGATCCCCTGGGTCTGCCCCCCTACTCCCAGCAGGTGGCAAAGGGCTGCTTCAGCACAGGGGTCTTCCTCACCCGTAGTTCTGCCCATCAGACAGGCAGGGACTCCACCCTGCAGTGGGTAAAGGATCACTTCACTTAGACCCAAGAGGAATTTTCTCTATTTTTCTGAGGCAGTTGCAGAGGCCATGCGGGCTTGTCTACTTTGGGCTGGATTGAAATCAATTCAGCATTGTCACTCCAGTCAGCACCTACTTGTAAGAAGAGCCACTGACAGCTCAGGGCCTGCCTGTGGTCAGTAGTCATTGTGGCTGGATTAAAAGAAAGCTGACTGTATCTTTGGGGTTTAGGGTTTCACATTTCCAGCTGTGACTCTTTG